ATGACAGAATAGAATTAAGGACCTTGCTCTGGACCACTCCAAAGATGTTAAGTTGTTCCTGAGAAGACACAGCCAGTGAGATCAAGGCAGTATGGTTTGCTGGAAGCCCATCTTTCTGGAAGAGACTTCATCCAGGAGGAGGTAAGAATAAACTTGTCAGATGTTGCAGATGGATCGAATAATGTCAGAACTGAGAACTGACCATTGGGTTTGGCAATAAGATGTCACTGGTGATAGTTTTTGGTGAAGTGATGGGGCTAGCAAAGTTGTCTCTCGTCTGTATTACTGTGCTGATCTCTTAACGATCTCCTGGTTTTCTTCTTTGCCGCCACACAGTTTGTTCTCCAGACACCCAGCATGGTGACTTTTAAAAATATGTACATCGTGTCACCCCTCTGCTCAAAATGGCTTTCCACTTAATGCTAATAAAAGTCAGGACTTTACAATGGCTTACCAAGGCTCTATACAAACCTAGCATTTAGATTTTAATGATTCCTCCTACTAATTTCTCATTGAGTTCTCACGACTAGCCTCCTGACATTCTTTGAAAATGCCTGGGGCCGTGTCACTGCTTCAGGGCCTTACTACAGTCTGTTTTCTGATGGGTCTGGCTCCAGGTGTCTGTACCTGACTGGCTCCCTTCTCTCCTTCAGGTCTTTGCTGCTGCTCCTCTCTTACCTTTCTGATGGAGCCTGCCCTGGCTATCTTGTTTGAAGTGGAAGCTCTTCCCAGCCTAGCATTTTTCATCTCTCTTTTCCTACTCTCTTATCCCCCTGTAGGACTCGCCATCTTTTCACATCCCAACTAATATACTTATTTTCTATTTTTATTAATTGCGTATTGTCCTCCATCTGTTTTTTAAATTAATTTATTTTTAATTTTTATTTTATATTGGAGCATAGTTGATTAACAATGTTGTGTTAGTTTCAGGTGTACAGCAGAGTGATTCAGTTATACATATATTGTCCTCCATTTGAATATCAATTCCATGAAGGCAGGAGTTTTTGTCTTGTTTACTGATCTATCCTAAGTGTTCAGAATAGTAGCTAACACATGGTAAATGATCGATAAATACTACCCGGGGTAACACATGTGAAATAAGTTATTCTTTTCAAAAGCTTCTAAGTGTTAGAATCCTTGCCAAGTAGGGAAGCACTGTTTTGTAGGACCTGGATGACGTTAACGCAGCCTAATAATCAGCTTCTTGCCTCTCTGGTTATTTATTCAACTTTCCCTGATTTTCTATGCTTCGGGGAAGCTCAGTAAATGCTTGCTGTCTGCCATGTCGCACGCGCTGCGGCTGGCATCCGTGATTCATAGGCCTCCTCTAGATGGAGAGATAGACATCAGCAGTCGTAACAAAGTGTAACTGGGCGTGCTGTAAGGAATAATTGGTGGGTTTTGTTGATCAACCTGGTGCAGACACATGCAGATGCGGAGTTGGCACAAAGGAGAGGCGTATGGAATTAAAGGGCTGTGATGCTCACAGATCCTAGAGAGGAAGGCATGCAGTGGGCCATGCAGGGGCCTCGTGGGAAGAGAGCACAGGGTGTGAGCTTAACCGGCCAGGTGGGCAGCCAGCAGGGAGAGAACGAGGACCCGTGAGCAAGTGCCTTTTGGGGGATCTGGGTGGGGACACAAAAGCTTGAGAAACTGTCACTGGTGTGTTTGAATGTCACTAGGTCAGTCAGAGGAGGGCACAAAGGGGAACTTTGCCAGGTGCTTACAGCCTGTTTGTGGGGATGCTGAGGCATCCAGAAAATACCATGTTTTAAAAATTTACAATACACTGGGTAATGTAAGAAGTAAATGCACAGGGCTTTGGATCCAGGTAGAAAAGGTATCCTGGCAGTCTGTAAATAGCCTGCTTTCCATTGAACACTCTTT